TAGACGAATATAAGTATTTAGGTATTTAATTCCAATTAAATGCCTAAATACTTGTATAGATAAGTAAAGTCCAGGAAAAACAAGGATAAAATCAGGATAAAAGCTTCACTTTAGGGACTAAAAGTGAAGATATTTATCCAGACAGATATTTGTGATCTATGTGATAGTAATAAGTGTTGGGATATATTTTTTATTTTAAGAATAAAACCCTTAATATTGCTTATCTCTTTCTTGAACAGTCAGTAGGTGGCGTATGACGATATTATAGAAACAAATGCCTGTGTTTAGTTGGCAGTGAATCTCTATAAAATTTTTCGGACATTTTTTCTAACTTAAAAATTTTTTACTTACGGGTAAGAATGTATTATTTTTATTTATTACTTTTACTAAGGGTTTTACTGCTAGTAATGTTATATTTGTATTAAAATAAAATATAAGGCGACTTAAAATATTTAATGCTCGATATTTTCTCACTTTAAAAATGCTTCTGGAAATACTTTCTGGCTAAGAACTTCAACAATTCCAAAGTTATGTCAAAGTGTAAACAAGAAATCATAATACAGCGACACTTTAATTAACGGACACTCCCGAATACTTAGCGGGCATTTTTACAATTCCCAGATCCTTCAAATAGGACCTCCTAAATAATGGACGCCGTCGTCCGTAACCAACCTTACGAAAACATAAAGTCCCGCTTTCAATATTCTGAAATAAATTACGTACGAAATAGTTTAAAACTAAAAGAATCGGTTCAAATACTCTTTCGGAGGACGAATTTCGACCGTAGGCGTGGAATAAAAACGCTGAAAATAGGAATGCGGAGAAGGTCGGTTGTAAAAAGTCGAACAGTACTTTTTATCCGCTAGAGACGACTACTCTGGTTAAGTTGGCAATCATCGCTTATCGTCATACACATTGTTATTAATCTTCTGTCTTCTTGGAATTAAGCTTACGGTACCGAGAAACCACAAACTTTTTCCGAGTTATTCATTCATTCGACGAGAACCGTAGTACAGTAGTAACGAGAAAGTAACTCAAAACGGTTACGGCAACAGCGTTTATTGTGGCGCGAAGGTCATGTTACGAAGGCGTTTTGCCAGCCACGTTAAAGTGTGAGATAATATTCGATATTCTGGCATTTACTACGTCGTTTATGATCTTAACAGTTTTGTGGGGCTTAGGTGTAATTTTGTTAAATAAATCATTTAGTAAAAAAAGAAAAATGCTCGAAAAATTACACCTACTCGATAACTACAAAGAAGACAAATCTCTATATCGAGTCTTATAAATGAGGATATAAATGCAAGAATATCGAACGTATTTCCCACCCCTGGAAGTGGCTAGCAAATCGCCTACGTAACTCGATATTCGAATTCTGCCTCACCGTCTGTAACAAGTTTTATTTTTCTTTGTCGTTTTCTGGCGAATTAATTTTTAATCAACGTTATTTACATTTTATCGTAATTTTTGTGCGCCATTTAAAGTTTGCTATTTAGAACTCAATTTAAATGAGATTTTTACAGCCAAAAAGATAAATACAGTAATATACTGTATACACCCGGTATTTTAATTATATATGCTACGTGTACTGTCTCTGATAGAAAAATATATACTGATATTCCCGACATCGATATTAAAAATCCGTTTTTGTGTGACAGGGACAGCCTGCCCTTAAATACTTTAATATTTTCCACAGTACTGTTGTCGTCCTTTATGCGCTTGCTTGCCTTAAAAGTTCCAAAATAAAATTAGAAAAAAATGTCCATAAATAAATAATTATATTGCAGTTGTGGGGAGAAGGTAACATTTGCAATGTTTATTAGTCACTTTTTAGCACATTTACCCAACAAATTACAAAAATGAAGTAATTTATATTCTTTAAAGAGATAATCAGCTGAATTTCCCCCATTCTTACATCATCATTAATCTATTTTCAGTTCTACCAAAGAACACTTTTGCTCTGTTTTTCACAACTGCGCATTTATTGATTTATCAAATTCAATTGTTGATTGAAANATAAAATAAAAGTTTTTAATATAAAGAATTACATATTCACAATACTCGAATACTTTTATAGTTAATATCGATATTAAAAATAGAAATCCTGAATGAAAAATGTAATAAATTCTTTTTAAAAAAAAATCAATCGGTCTCTATATATACATATAAAATTGGAATTAAATTTATCTGCAATTGTTTATATCAAGGTCATTCCTTTTTTTTATTATTTTCTTTTGTTTTTTTTTCGACAGATGTCGATGAAAAGAATGGTATCCTGCGAGTCTTCTTCGATGCATTTGACAAGTTGCAGTTAGAAAGAGATAGGGATGGCTTTCACCCGAAGGGACTACTTTGTCGTGACAGATGTCACTGATTAGACTTATAAAAACATCACTTTATTTCTTTTATAGACATCGTTCTCGATTTTTGCTTTTAAGAGGATTAAATCGATCGAGTTTAATTGAATAAATTGTATTTTGACAATAGAGTTACGTTTACTCCATTTTATTGTCTGTTAATACTACAAAATTGAATGCTTTTATTAGGAATTATTGGCTTGATTATTGGCAATAAAACTTTAGATTTGTTCCAGAGTTTTCTTACAATTTAATCTTAAATTTTGATTCGTATTTTTTTTCGATTATTTAAGTGCTCTTTTTTTTTTAAATATAATATTGATTATAGGTAAACATTTATATAATATAGCTTATTATTTACTTCTAAACTATAGTTAATTTTTTACTTTTTTTTTTTTAAATTGAGTTTTATTGTATAAGCTCACTCTTTTTTTTCATTACTATTAGAAAAACTTTGCTTATTTTTAGTTTTTTTAATATTAAGCGAAACGATTAAAAATTTGTAGATTCTATTAAGCTAATATTTCTCAACTTTTCTATATAAATCATCTCCTAAAGGATTTAAAAAGTCCTTTAGGAGATGATTTAAAAGATAAGATTCTGTTCACCCTGTTTAAAGCTTAATAACTCCTGTGCTTTTTGTCGAAAATTTCTGAAATTTTGCAAGGAAGTTTGTGTAATACGTGAATTGATACTATTAAATTTTGGTGATTAAAGGTCAAAGGGATGGGGCGATAAAAAGGGGATCGTGTGTCGTATCTCGAGTAAGGTCGAAATTAATGACAATTTTACTCGTTATTAGTATTTACAGTTTTGTTTTATAAAAACCCATCCCTACTTTGAAAATTAAGTTTTTAGTTATTTTATAATAATTAAAAATATAAAATGATTTTTAAAGATAAAATAGCATAACAGACGGCCATATTAAATGTTGCCGGGAAAGTTAAGCAACTCGTTAATGGATTTTTGTCTCCAGAGATCATATTTGTCACTGGAGAGATATCGTTTACTGTATTTGATTATAACAGATAAAACAAGTTGATCATAAACAAATAAATAGAAGTCAAGTTTGATCAAATAATGTGCTGAATTTTATGTTGATATAGGAATAAACATTAACATGAATTTAAAGTAAAATATTTATTCAAACAAACTTCATACTTTTACAGATACTTTACCAAGAAAGACTATTCTAATATAATTTATTTTGACTAAAATTCTTCTTAAGTAATTCCATAAATAAAGTAAATTTTAAATTAAGGATTTAAACAACATTTATTTTACAGATGTCATAATTATTATAATTCACATCTGTATTGTTTTGTTTCTGAAAAAGTTGAATGTTACAATACTGTATTTGAACAAATATATTTTATTTTAAAATAGTTTACAAACTTCGAGCGGTGATCACACTCATTTCATATAGGCCTATTTATATTCGTAAATACAGTCGACCCCCCTATAATTACGGTCCCTATAATTACGATTCCTATAAAACTACGAAAAAATTGTGACTGGTATCCGTATAGAACAGTAAAAAACCCCCTATATCTTATAGGGGTTTTTTACTGTTTTTTTACTGTTTCCAAAGAATGGAACGTATCTATATCTTATAGGGGGGTCGACTGTAATTCAAATCCCTTACAAAACACTGGATTCTAAGTAAGGATTTCGAACTTTTCATGAATATGAATGTTTGAAATAAGAGGTCTTGAACTTTGGAACCAATCGAATCCTTATAATTTTTCATAGCTAATATTTCTTTTTTAGCTAATTCTGTTTCTTTATTTCTTCGACAGAATACAATACGGATTTGTTCATACAATATTTTTTGCAGATAGATCTAAAAATACTTATGTCTTTCTTAATCTATATATATATATATATATATATATATTTCTTTTCTGCTCTTCCTTAAACTTGCAAATCTATTCTCGATGTTCCCTAACAATAACACCTGGAGAGATCACTAGAAAGGGTATCAGGAAGAAATGTGTTCATATATTTTTATTACTTATAAATAGATTAAAGAATTACATTCATATATGTTCATTAAAAAGAATCATATATCTTTCTACCCCTTCTGCTTTGACTGCTTAAGCTCCCTCAACGTGTTATTATTGAATTACTAAATAAACGATTATGTATATATCAGTGGCATGCAATTCATGGAAGCTGTCCCTTGTATTTTCTAAAATATAAATACATATTGTGGGATTATTTTCATAAATAAGTTCTTATATCTTTGATTTATATCAATGTATCTATTTTAGAGTTAAAATAAATAAACTGTTTATCTTTGTATCTGTTTATAATTTTTATGGAAACACAGCTTCCCTATCATTAAATGTCACCGCAGGCCTCTGGTATATGTTTAACAAATAGTATATTTTATCAATGAATTTTCAAACTTCATAATCTAACTAAATATTTTAAATAAACAGAACGTTTCGAATGTATTTATTTACACATTAAAAAATAAAGAAATACGTTAAATAAATACAAAAATGTAAATAAATACGCTAAGTAGATACAACAATAAATACACACGTAAGCAATAAAATTAATGAAATATTGAATATATTTATTTTAAATCTATTTTTAATTTGACATAAAAAATTAATCACAGTATATTTTTTTCAGGATTTCTTCAAGATTAACAAAATGAAAATAAATATAACTGACATCTTCAACTTTAGTATGGAACAAGCATCAGCCGTTCTTGAAGAATATACCCTTAGAGATCACATTTTTTCTTCTCCAATTGAGACCACTATTGTGATAAGTTACTGCATTCTCATGACATCGGGAGTGTGTAGTAATTTACTCATATCCATTGTCATTTTAAAGAATACGAAAATTCGTACTAATAGAAATCTTCTTGTAGTGAATCTCAGTATGACAGACATAGCCTTGTGCATATTCTGCATGCCTTTCACACTTCTGCAATTAATCAGAAAAAATTGGGTACTTGGTTCAGTTCTGTGTAAATTGGTGCCATTTTTTCAAGGTTCGACTATCTTTATCATGGCAGGAACCGTTATGGCCATTGCCATCGAAAGACATAACGCTATCGTACGGAGCCACATTCACAGAACTATTATTTGTAAAAAATTTTGTATCTGTACAATATCAATTTGGGTGATATCTTTAATTCTATCAATACCGGTTTGCCTCTTTCAAAAAGTTGTTCCTATTAGAATGAGTGGGTTTATTCTATCAGAAAAATGTATGGAACATTGGCCTTCTGGACACATTAAATCTATCTACACTGTTGTCGTCCTTTTAATGCAATTTGTCATACCTACTATGATTTTAATTGCAACTCATTGTAGAGTAAGAACATATTTAAATATAAAAATAGCTCATCCTCATCAAGAAATAGCTCCAGGATATAAAGAAAGATTACGGAAAGAACTGAAAAGAAACGAAAGAGCTACAATGATACTACTTAACTTATCTATTGTATTTACAATTAGTTGGCTACCTTGGAATATAGTTAATTTGATAGCAGATTTCCATCCCAAGATTTTTTCACCCGAAACTCTTTATTTAATTTTTGCTTTGTGTCACATCATAGCTATGACTTCTGCTACAACTAATCCAATTTTGTATGGTTGGCTAAATACTAATATCCGAAGAGAATTGTTAAAGATGGGCGAGGTTGTGGGGATAGTTTTGTCTTCACATAGTAGACCTACCAGTAATAATGGATCTGCAGTTCAGGTTTCGGATGGGATCGAGATGCGTAACACAGCTAATAGCAATTGAAAAATCTATATTTAGCTTGAATTTAATATATTTTCTCATATACCGTAGTTATACTCAAAATTTATCTGAAGCAATTATAGAGTTACTGTAATTTTATAGACTCGATTAATATTTTAAAAGTATATTTTAAATAGCTTGTATTCATATTTATTGTGACTATATTATAAATATATATATTTAATATAATAATTAATTTTGTACAAAATTATATTTATAATTTAGTTTGAAACAAATAAAATAAAATAAAAATCAATCTAGTTTTGTTCTTCAATTTATAGAAATAGATTCGAAAAAATATATTGACAAATAAAACGTTTTCGCAGCCCCAAATAAAAATTTACTATAAAATAGAATGTATGATATATTTTATTCTTTCCATCCTGATGCCCCAAAGGATGTTTTTAATCATAGGATACATCATCACAGGTTTTCTTTCTGACCTGTAGGCGCTAAGAGTGTTTTTTTAATCAAGACATCGAAGATTCGGCTAGACCCGCAATGCGACGGAGCCTGATATATCCAAAATGGACCAACCCCGAAAAATTTCTGGGATTCCCGATTCGGACTTGAACCTTCAAGAAAACACTGACCGTTTGCCCTCTCATCCATGTGGTCATCTACATTGACACCTTTAACATTTCATTCCGAATTAACTACGTAATTTCTGTGAAAAAAATGATATCGAAGCATAAATATAAGGTTTTAACAGTCTCTTAAAATCCTACAATATGGATCTTATTTACATTTATGTTTACATTAATGCGATAATATAAATTTATACATCATACCACACTTTCTCCGAGGGTCGGATGGTCTAGCGGTCAAGGTGGCATCCTACCGCTCTGGGAACACGGAATCCAATCCTGGCAGGTTGAAAAATATCCAGGAATTTTCCGACGGTGGTCCGTTTTGATATGTCGGGCCCCATCCCTTACAACCCGGTAGTCCCATTTTTTCGGGATCTAAATCTCAATACAATTTTGAAATTTATACTTTTGTATGAAATCATTTTTGTCACAAATGCTATGTAGTTAATTTGAAATAGTGCCCACCAGTGGCCGAGGGGATAAAACCCCGTAAACACTGGTAGTTGGTCATAGGTTTGCGCCTCGCCAACGGACTGGCCACGTGGAGTTTTCAGGAGTTTCATGTTATCTAGAATAAGAAGCAGTTTCCCTTAAAAAACCTGCCGGTATACATTTGCCCTCGGAAGATTGTCCATTTGCAGCGTTGCCGTAACCAAATAAACCTAAACCCAATTTGAAATAAAATATGAAAGATGTGAATATCATTTAGATTATTTCTTTTAATTATAATCGAATATGAAATTGAATTTTTGAAGAACGGTTTGAAGTTAAAAAAATTTTTCATATATTTTTTAATACCATCGCGTAAAACACGTAATATAACATAATACAAAATAATTATAAAAATGTCATTAAATTATTGAAGCAAAGATTAAAACATTACAAAAGGGAGTGTAGGAAGACAAAATCTTCTAAACACGTATATATATAAATTGTTATTAAAACATGAGACAGTGTGAAGCCATTAAAGATATGAAGTGAGTTTATGAGAAACCTTTCAAATATTACTTTCACTTAAATAAATAAATAAATAAAAACAAATATTAAATATAGTTCAAATTTAATAGAATAATAAAATTATCTTCAAAACGATAAAGATGACAAAATTATTATCTCTTCATTATCTTTACACATATAAGGTATATAAATCTCTAACTCGGTAAGAGCCCATAATAACCCCGTAATAAACGATTTCATATTTATTACGTGTTCATTCAGACACGCAATAAGACAGTCAAATGATGAAGAATGAATTCACCATTTTCAGATCAAATACTTATGAAAACTTCTGAAGATTTGAAATCAGCAGATACATAAGGGCTTATGTGATAATTATATTATTTGATATATATATATATTTATTATAGTTATCCTCTGTGAATTACATTTTGAGTACAACAAGTTATTCTTGGAAGGAATTGACGAATTGCTACTTACTGTCCTAAAGTATTCTATGTATACTTGATGGAGTTATGGTTAGGAACTGAAATTCCGGATCGCCTAAGATATCAATACAGAAATTCCGAAATTAGGCAAATGCAAATTCCGAAATTTCCGGATTGATATTATACATTAAATAATGCAATAAAAGATGTTTCTTTTAACGAATTCGTTCGGATAGCATTGAAGGATCTTGTTTACTTAATTTCTACTTAGTTTTATTGTGACTGAAAGTTCCAAGGTGACGATTTGTCAACTGTTTCTCCTTACTAGACTCAATAAGTTAGTTATCGTGTTATGTGATCAGTATTCAAAACAAATGTATTACAAAATATTATTTATTTGTTATTAATAATAGTACTTCCATACAAGAGAGAAAAATAAAACAAAATTAATAAATAAGCAGCCACATAATGGTCTATTAATTACAATACAGTTAATAAAAATGGTACAAAGATTTAACAAAAAAAAAAGTATGCAATTTATTCAATATTATCTTCGACATATTTTTATCATACAAATAATTCTTTAAAAAATCTTCACTAAGAATTTCTCTCTTAAACAACATTTTAAAACTGGACAGGACGTATAAATATGCGTTAATACACAATCGTAATCGGTAATACAATATAGGCAAGAATACCCCGTAGAAATATCTATATACTGATCACTCAACATAATCCGGTATTTATTAAGAAATAGTTTTATTAACAAACTTTTAAAGTATTAATTTCAAGAATTCTAATCTTACAACAGAAAAACCAGGCACTGAACGTTCGAGCTTAAATAATCTTTTGAAATATCTTAATTGAAAATCTTCTTAATTTTTCAATAAGATCTAAACCCCTTTAACAAGGCATCAAAAAATTTAAACAATGCTTTAATAGAGTTCATCCTCATTTTTATCTGTAGTGTCAAATCCTGTTCTGTGCCCTTAAATCCGTCTTCGTGTGCCTAACTGCTTTAACAAAACAGAAATCTACAAGTGCAGCAATCAGCAATGCCGTAATCAGTAATCCTAGCTACAGGATTTTGTTTCATCCATATTGCACTTAATGAAGCAAACGTAGATATTGTAAAAAGCTTGAAAAATGTCTTATTGAGAGGTTGCAGCTTGTGAATAGTGTGTGGAGACATACATACACGGCAAACAAATGTGATTCTTAAGAGTATACTCATATTATTGACAACTCTTTGTGACTAGCATGTCCATCTAAGATTAAGAGAACAGGATTTTCGTTTTTAAGATGCATAGTTATTTGAAATGGTCCAACCATTGCAAAAATATGTCATCCTTCATCCAACCACTCTCCTGTGAAATTGCGATACTCTCCGGTACAGTTCCAATCATTAAACGATCACGACTGTTCATTTTTTTCCGTGGAAAGATGAAAAGAAGAGGTTTTATTTCCTCTTTTCATCTGTCCTGTAACATTCATGGCAAACATTAACATAATATTTTGTCCAACAGTTCGTGCAATGTTGATTGACTTCGGGAGTTCTTAAAGGTCAAAGGGGTGAAAGATAAAAGCGGTCGCGTGTCATATCTCGAGTAGGGTCGGACTTAATAACGATTTTACCGGTTATTAGCATTTATAATTTTTTTNAATAAAAGTTTTTAATATAAAGAATTACATATTCACAATACTCGAATACTTTTATAGTTAATATCGATATTAAAAATAGAAATCCTGAATGAAAAATGTAATAAATTCTTTTTAAAAAAAAATCAATCGGTCTCTATATATACATATAAAATTGGAATTAAATTTATCTGCAATTGTTTATATCAAGGTCATTCCTTTTTTTTATTATTTTCTTTTGTTTTTTTTTCGACAGATGTCGATGAAAAGAATGGTATCCTGCGAGTCTTCTTCGATGCATTTGACAAGTTGCAGTTAGAAAGAGATAGGGATGGCTTTCACCCGAAGGGACTACTTTGTCGTGACAGATGTCACTGATTAGACTTATAAAAACATCACTTTATTTCTTTTATAGACATCGTTCTCGATTTTTGCTTTTAAGAGGATTAAATCGATCGAGTTTAATTGAATAAATTGTATTTTGACAATAGAGTTACGTTTACTCCATTTTATTGTCTGTTAATACTACAAAATTGAATGCTTTTATTAGGAATTATTGGCTTGATTATTGGCAATAAAACTTTAGATTTGTTCCAGAGTTTTCTTACAATTTAATCTTAAATTTTGATTCGTATTTTTTATTTTTTTTTCGATTATTTAAGTGCTCTTTTTTTTTAAATATAATATTGATTATAGGTAAACATTTATATAATATAGCTTATTATTTACTTCTAAACTATAGTTAATTTTTTACTTTTTTTTTTTTTAAATTGAGTTTTATTGTATAAGCTCACTCTTTTTTTTTCATTACTATTAGAAAAACTTTGCTTATTTTTAGTTTTTTTAATATTAAGCGAAACGATTAAAAATTTGTAGATTCTATTAAGCTAATATTTCTCAACTTTTCTATATAAATCATCTCCTAAAGGATTTAAAAAGTCCTTTAGGAGATGATTTAAAAGATAAGATTCTGTTCACCCTGTTTAAAGCTTAATAACTCCTGTGCTTTTTGTCGAAAATTTCTGAAATTTTGCAAGGAAGTTTGTGTAATACGTGAATTGATACTATTAAATTTTGGTGATTAAAGGTCAAAGGGATGGGGCGATAAAAAGGGGATCGTGTGTCGTATCTCGAGTAAGGTCGAAATTAATGACAATTTTACTCGTTATTAGTATTTACAGTTTTGTTTTATAAAAACCCATCCCTACTTTGAAAATTAAGTTTTTAGTTATTTTATAATAATTAAAAATATAAAATGATTTTTAAAGATAAAATAGCATAACAGACGGCCATATTAAATGTTGCCGGGAAAGTTAAGCAACTCGTTAATGGATTTTTGTCTCCAGAGATCATATTTGTCACTGGAGAGATATCGTTTACTGTATTTGATTATAACAGATAAAACAAGTTGATCATAAACAAATAAATAGAAGTCAAGTTTGATCAAATAATGTGCTGAATTTTATGTTGATATAGGAATAAACATTA